CTTCCCAGGTCGAAAAGACCGAATCACGCATCACAGCTGGTCACAATTTTGCCTAGAATTTCAAAGGTGGTTCTAATCTGAGACGAAATGCTTGCTAGTTACAGAGTTGCATCACTATCGACCAGTAGAAATGCCTTTGGTCGTAGTCAGAGTTTTTTTGTGAATAATGATGCTGGAATTACCTTTTCTACGTGTTTTTATGGCCATCAAGAAGCGATGCTCTCACCGAATACCACAAAATTGCGCAGCCCGATTCTGGTAAAACATTGGTTCATTTTTTGACGTTCATTCTCGAATGCTACTGGAAGCTACCTTCTTACCTATCAGTCGCAACTCCCAAGTATCCGAGGTCACCCCTGCATAATTGGAGACCAAACCGCCGGAATTCGGCCGCCCAACCTCAAACTGGTTTAGTACAATGTTAAGTGCTGATCTGTCATTGGTTCGCGAAGAACAATTCGTCCACCTTAAATGTCTTGCAATTCCAAATTTCTGCTGAGAGTTGACACACCATTCTTGGCATGCCTTTGTCGCTGCACCTGTCTCATCTCACCGCGGTCATTAAGCTGACTTTCGATAAACCGACGCAGAAGCCTCAACCCTTTCGCTCTTGGCTAGTAAACATTTTTGGTTAGCATTTCGTTTGGCGTATTTGACCTACTTCAGATACGTCTCTGATCTGGTGCTCTATTTGAGTTCTTCATAGGTTCGTTTTTGGCCTAAAAATACAAGCAATCAAACCTATTTAACAGTTATTTTAGGTTCTAGTTCCTTTATTTATCTAAACTACGCGGTTTGAAAGTTGATAGGTTAACAGAACATTCATATTTTATATATACAAAGAGACTTTATGGATTGCCTAATGAAAGAGCAGTTGTCTTCCGCGGTCCCCCCAGACTCCGTGCAGAGCGACAGGACAGCAGGAGGTCCGAGCGATCTTGAAGTGGGTTCTCAAGGCACTAACCAGTCCGCCGTTTCCGTCCCTAAAGCCCAGGTCACATCCACGACGTTGGACGTCGCTGCCCCATCTACCGTGCCTTCCTGTAAGTGTTATTTTTTTCACTGATGTGGTTCCAGGAGCAGTCTTTTCAGACATTTCCGGATCCATTATTGAAGTGGTGTTTTGTTGTTGCTGCTTTGCAGTCGCCCTTTCAATGTAAGTTATAATTATGTTTTTTTTGGTTTAACCTGGCTGAGACTACGGTACATGTCAGCAATGCTAGTTTACCACGTATAGTGTCAAATAATCCACACAAAATCCCTCAGGTGTGTAACTTTTACCGTTCATTTACCAACCAAAATAGACGTTCGTTTAGTGGGTCTTTCAAAGCTATCCTTGTCAGCATCTACTGTACGATTCACTGCCACTATTTTCTTGACTACAGTCTTTACGCAACTTCTACGCCTGTTGTGGCCTCGTAGTAGCGTCTGCTATGATAGCTTGCGAACTAGAGCCTACACGGGTTTAAATTCGCTCCGATTTTTCTGCCCTTAGTATGAATCGACATTCACCAACCTGAAATCCTTTTTAGCAACTTCAGAACCGGCAAGTATTTCGCGAAGGGAACTGGGAGATGATCCAGATGTCTTGGTTTCTCCTCATCTGCGAACCATCACCCAATCCGTTGGAGTTCCCGTTAGTAGTAGCACCAGTAGTGGTCACGTCGAGGCCTGAGCATGTACAGGTCTCGGACACCTTCCGACGCACTTTAGTCTGTACAATGCACGTATTCACTACCACCTACGCCCTTGCCCATATATTTGTTGGTTTTTTATTGATTTTTCATCCCTTAAGTAAAAACCTGTGTATGTATAGATTTCAATTACCAACCGGGTCTGGATTTCTGGCACAATTACCAGGTTTCTTAACTGCCCTGTTGCATTGTATTTCGTAACGAATAACGCAAAGTTCAGATGAATTTGGGATTTGCCACGATACGAGTCAATCAGTTAAGAGGCTCTGATTGCAACTAATTAAAACTGAAATGTATCTGGTTCCCGATTTCCACGATGTGAAGTAGACAAAAAATGTAAGCAGATTCAAACCACTGATCTGTATTAAAGCTGACACGGTGTTAACTCTGCAAGGTGACTAGTCACTATCGGAGTCGCTGGCCCGTCTGCAGTTGTACTTGCCATCAACCCGAGTCGTTCTGAAGTGACTTCCAGTTACACGGCTGTCATCTTCATTGGATTCATCAGGCGCCACTATCGCTCCCACCTTCGCTAGTCGATCTTCAAGGTCTAAAATGTGGAGGAAAACGGTTGGGTTAGTCACTGTAAATGGTCACGGCTATGGCTACGATCGGCACACCCTCACAACCACCACGCAAAGAGGCGAGTTCCACTAGCAAATGATTGGTGAAGGACTAAGTAGCGGTTTTTTAATACCATCATGGGAGTTCGCGAGGTTGTTTTAGGCTTATTTGGGGCTTTTATTATCGAGGTGTAACAGCAAGCGAGCATAGACGGGCACCAGTTCAACTACACATTTTGCACCAAAGCCATGCTTTGCGTCGAGAAGGAATTTAAAATATTAAAAACAATTTGATCATGTTTTAGTACGAACTAATATAATGATATCGCCGACGCACCTAACACTTAAGATTTTTTGGCCTTCTAAACATCATGGAGATTTTTTTACTTCTCATATACTTTAGGAATGCATTAAATTATCGTGTAAACAGGCAATTGGACGAAGACATCTGTTACTGGTTTTGTGAAACATTTATTTTACACGCTTTTCAACTTAATAACGTAAACGGAAGTAACGCATCGCAACCGAAGATCACCAATATCACAAAACTGGAAATGATTAAATTTGCATACCTGTTAGGTATTTTTGAATTAAGATTAACCATTTGGTAGTCTTCCTGACCCTAGATATGACATCTTCGATGCATTTAAAATTTCCAAAGTAGGCCGGCCAGTAATTTACCAAGGGAATTCAGCTTACTTTTTGGTTGGTTCATAAGGTCTTTTGGTGGATGACTCCTACATGAAAACCAAAATTTTAGAATCATAAATGACTGCCTTGCAAGGTAAGTTACTTGTTCTTGTGCATGGCACGAATCGATTCGTACAAAAGTTAGCAGAAATTGGTTGGTGACATTTTTTCATTCCCTCAGCTTCCCCGAAGCTTGTACAACACGTACAGCCCCAGAAGTTACACTATTGAACAGTAAATTTTGGGGCTATTACCTCTCTTAAGAAAACTCTTACGCAATTGTATTCCTGTTCAATAAGGCAGCGAACTCTAGGTAATGGAAAACACTACGAGACGGGCTTTGCCGTTGTGGCTACCGCTTAGATACGCGATAAGGCGAGGAGAAAAACGACGATGGCATGAAGAAGCAGCTGGGACTATCGCATATCAACGAGATTAGCAGTGGTTTATTATCTGTATGTAATAAAATGTCCTAGGATTATATTACTGAACTAACTCACGAATTTCAGTTTAATTAAAACCAGCTCCCAGCACCTAACTTTACGCAATATTCTCACTGACTTAGGCCGCGTTGCTTTACTGGAATTTTCACAGAACAGAAAGTTTACATTGTAATCAATAGCCTCCTTTCAAGAACTTTAAATATGCTTGAGCCCACGAAACGTCTCGCGTGTTATGCTACGATGGCTTTATCCACCCTACTACTTTCTGTTGACATTTTTCTATAAACAGTTGCAATCATGTATAAACTCAGTAAAGGAGAGAAGTTTATAAGTATAACAGTTTAATTTGATTTTTCAGCTAAACCAACTGTAGGGATACTTATTTAACATATTTAGTGTTAATAAAGTGGAACCAACCTTTAATATTACAGGGATGTCCACCAAGTGCTTTGCTGCCAACATATTGCATTTTAACATTTCCATCATAGTAGATCACGACTGTAGGGAGATTTGCTTCAGGGAGATCAGGGACGCATAAAGAGGCTTCACCACGAAGAAACTTGACGGCCGGGTAACGCGCTGCCAAAACTTGCATGTGCTGGTCAACTACGGCACATTTTTCATTCCTGATATAAAATAAACCATCAGCAAATGTCTCAAACCAAAAATATTTGATCCACAATACTAACTAAAGGTAAAATGTACCCTTTTTGAGCAATATGAACAACAACAAATATTCCATCGCCAGCCTTATTAATGCACGATGTCCAGTCGGCCTTGGTAACTTCGCCATATGTACCGAACCTTGCCTTCAATGCGGCTTCACGCATTTCATTTAGCCTCTTTTGACGGTACATTTCAAGGAATTTAGAATCTTCGTCTTCGTCAGATCTGCCTTGATCCTCAAGATTTTCAATTTCTTCGGTCAATTTGTCATACGACATTTTCTCCACCGCATTTCTTCCTAAAATTAAAAAAAAAAATAGACACCGGAAAGATGTTGCTCAAAGCTTTAAACTACATTACGACGTTACTTTGAGTTTCTGGGGATTGTTCGGGAGACTCTTCCTCTTGTTTGGGTAAAGGTGGCAGGATGCCTTTTTCGCGAAGGATTGCATTAAATTCAGTATCTTCCGTAGTGTTTCTATCCTGGTTGATTCAATTAACTACTGAGCAAAGGCATACCACATGAATATTCATCCCCCCGTTCATCCTGAAACGGAAGCCAACCTGACACGAAAGCACGCAAGTGCATTTTGATTCGTTAAACAAATTAATTGCTCGCTTTGTAAATTATTTGTATTCGCTGCAACAAGTGTGTAAATTGTAATCTATTTAAGTCAAGGCATTTTGTCATGTGCATTTAGTCTTTCCTAAGAAAAAGTTTGCAGAACACTATGAACATTTTTTTAAAAAACTAAACTTTCCTTCAATGCCTATTCGCAACTTAACTTAAACTTTCTCACAGTTGCAAGTTTCTAAAGAATTACAAAAAAATGACTCATACATTTGTTAAGTGACCAGGAATACCCAGGAGACTTTATTTTCTTCTCATTAACATGATCAAATATATATATAAAGTGGCGCGTTTAATTATTACTTACATCGCTTACTAGGCAAAATCATAAAGGCTCCTGATGTGTGTGTCTTGAATTTTTTGTTTTTAGGACCAAAAACCGCTTAATTTTATTTTTGTTTCGCTGGGAATAAGTGAAATATTTCTACCCGGAAATATATTTGGTTATTTAACCCCCCGGATTTTGTATATTTTAGCCCTCGGTTGTTCAAAATATCATAACTGTATTATCACTATTGGCTGCAGATTTATAAAGCACAACACCGCCTACTTTAAAAGTTAAAAACCCAATGTTTATTAAATGACAACGTGAAATCAATAATGGATTATTCATCTCACATCACCTAATTGGTTAACTAAGGAAAATTATTTGAACATTAATCTGCTTTATCAAACATGCAATGATCAAACACATTTTTTACTGAAACTTTCAACGCTTACTTTAGATGTTATTTAAATGTTGTGTCTTGTTTAGGAATGACCATGATTTGGGTCCTGCAGGTCAGGCCTACTTGGATTATTTTCCAGTTAGTCCCCTTTATGCCTGCGCAATAAAAGAAATTAACTATATCTATGCCACAAAATAATGTCTTTTCTTGCAACAGGTTTTAGGATTTAGAAAAACTGTGCAGTATTCATATGTTTGCACTGAAGGCATTGCAATTTGTACATCGGATCTCAAATACCTTTTTTCACTTGAGTCAAAGTACAACTTTAGAAACATTGGTTGTTCCTTTTCGTGCCAAATATTTACCATGGTGCTGCTTTGGATCATTTTGACATATTTTGTCATGAATTAGTTCTAACGAGAAGAGTGTGGAAAAATGCGAATTTCTATAATAGTTTGTCATTTTAAAAATAATAGGATACAAATACATCTATAGGGGTTTAAACATAATTTGCATAATCGGAAAATCGTGTAGAACTGATTAGCTTAAAATTCTACATTGCACTTTTGTTAAAATAGTCTTTTTCATGCAGTGTGGATAAAAGTGGAAATGCCAAAATGAAACTCTTAGTAAATGACGATGCCTGCGAGTATACATTTGACTATACTGACAAATATTACTTCTCAATTAGTGAATAACAATACTGTTCGGTTACATGCTAGTCGACTTTTTTATTTTTAATTCTTATCTTGGGTGAATATCAGAAACGCTCGGAATCGGTGAAATGGGAAACGTCTTTTACCTGAAACCTCGTATAATGCTGGACAGTTCATTTTACGGATTTAAAAATTGTATTTGAAGAAGTTTTTGCCAACATGTCTTGCTTGATTAGAAAAAGTCAAGTTCAGCAAAATGAAAACAGGCTTTTAACAAATAATTTCTGTCTGATAACCACGGAATTGTTACAATGGTGTGGCAACTACCGAAGTCCTGTTTCAGAAAATGTGAACTTATTTCTATGCTTCCTTGTTTTAACGCCTGTTAGTTTTCTATCTCTGTGGTTTCTTGTTCTATTACGGCTCATATCGTTTACAGGTCTGGTTATGGCTGGAAAAATATGGTCGGATTCATTAAATTTGGCCAATATCTTTTTTTTCCAGCATTTGCCAAATTGCACTAGATGTTGGTAAAGACTATAACTTGTAAACTTATTTGCATAACTATTGTTTAGACTGCTTAAAAAGTCAGCTAACCTCAATCCTTGATTGCGTTTTTGTTCATGTAATTCACACAGATTTCCCTATTTGTAGCTCAACACGATTTTGCTGTTGCATATTTTACCTGAGGCATCTAAGTCGATATCAAGGGCACACAAAGACCTATTTAGTTTATTTCAATGTTTGTTACAAGGGACATTTCATTAACACCTTGTGACACTAAACCTCCATCGTTAAGAAACCCAATTTTTAGTTAAACCCATCGAAACAGCCAGAGCGGAATGTTGTCGAACGAAAAGTTTCCTATTACGCAACAGAAGGTCACCAATTCTAGGAGAATGACAATGACTTGAGCAAGATTTATTATTAATTTAATGCTAGATGCATCACTGGCATTTCAATTCAAGCACACGGTGCCATATTCCCGCAACCAACAGCATGATGCTTCAATGACCAAAGCAATTAAAAGTTAGAATATTCATAGGTATTATTGCCAGGTTGTTCATCAAATAAAATTATGCGGGTGCCGGATGCTTAAAACGGCGAAGCCAAATCTCAGATTTCAATCACGACTTAAAGCTTTGCTTACTAGTGTAATCAATTATTACGTCTATTAAGTTTTCGAAGTTGTAAACATTGCCATAGGATGCAGTTTGGTCAGTCATTATTGTAGAACTAACGATTATTACGTTCTTCACCGAGGCAAGATTCTGGTAATCTCAGCGACAAAGTAAGTGACATGACGTACTCATTCACTTTTACAAGGAACAAAGAGGAATCTGGGCTTTATGGTTGCCGGATTGAGACGGTCATCTATAAAGATTTCAAACCTTTCGTACAATTGTGGGAAGAAAACCTGACACAATGGAACGCGCGAACGAACGAATGTGAGGCACTTCGGATAGTACAACAGCAACAGTCAATCGGAATAAGTTATTGCAGTGAGTGAAAGCGTCTGGAGTATTTGTCACCGATAAATAAAGGCATGGAATTCCTTTTGAAAGTCAAGCACAAACCCTGAAGATCGGACAAAAAGTGCATTTAAAAGGTGATCTCCTGTATGGCCCTTAACACTTATGTTGAAGCCCGTTTTTCATTGGAGGACATGCGTCCAAGTCTAGAAGATGATTAGCAGTTGATGGTGTCAGAAAAAAAGGGCTGGGCTGAGTACAACGCACAAGTAATTCGGGAAAACTTTTCGACCGGACGACCTTGGCATTCAGTGTCTGGGCTGCTCGCAAATCTTGTGAACGGTCGTGGGTTCTAGACACCGAGATTTGCAAGCCAACCCTAACAGAACAAAGTAGGCCTTACGACCCTACCGATAAAATTGGCAACAATTAAATCACCACTTACTGTAAAATGTCGTCATCGTTACGAATAAACTATCAGACGAACAGAAAAAGACCTAGCCAGGCAAAAAAGCAAGAACAACTGCAATTTCTGGATTTTAGAAAATTATGACAAAAATAAACGATTATATATGAGTGCGAACGCATGTGCGGGTGTGGGTGCGTGAGAGCTCCTTTGTATAGGATAATGAAAGACAGTAAAATGAGTTGGCAGGTTAAATTCGCCTCTGTTAAGAGGACAAGTGGGTTAGGAGGACTCCAATAGGCTCGACGTAGTGCCTCTTTCACCGGCAGAGGCACTTACCAAAAGTGGAGTGTGTATGCACGGTGGACGAGGCTCATCGCCATCAAGATCATGTTCCAGCGCCAAGGCTACTTGTGATTGGTTAACTTCGGCGGAGGTGGCGTCTATAACATGAAAAGATGGAGTTTAGGGAATCGATTGTTTCAAGAACGTTGGAAGCTGGTCCAAACGTCGGCAGGCTGGAACTCCTCAAATGATAACTTAGTAAAAACAAATGGTTTTTTAAAATGGCTTCACAAACAGGAAGATGCGCAAGTGAAACAGGTCACAGTTACTTAAAACTCCAGCATTTCAAACCGCGCATCAGACCCCCGTCCTTCAAAATATCTCCACAGAGGCATGAACATGGAAGCGAAACGCAGTCAACCAAAGGGACTTCATGACTATATTCGGTGGAAAGACTACGCATTTTCGATAAGAATGCAACTCAAATCCAAACACCGGAAAAATGCTACCACAGATCATTTTAAAACTGTAACACCCTAGTTCAATTCTATAGCGATTTAGTAGAGCTACACCACTCAAACACACCTCGCGTTCCCGTCTCAGGGCTCCTATCGTCATTACCATTGACAGATTCTCTCCTGGACAAGATCGAGCCCAATTCTCCGTCTTCGTGCATAAATGAAGCGACTGTGGCTTCTGACACCTCCGGCTGTTCATAGTCGCCCCTCTCCCCGCCTCTCCTCCACCGTAGTGCAGACAAAAGCCAGCGCCCCAAAAGACCGCGAGATGGAGGGTGAGCAGGAACCGGAGTGATGAAAGTTTGTGGAGCTGCTTCGGTAGGGGTAGGTTCACATCGGCGTTGAACCTGAAGGTTGCAGGAAACAGCAACATCTACGAATGTTGGGGCGGGCTTCATGGAAAGTTCGCGGACCGTGGCAATACGGGCCTGCGACAGAGCTCCAGGACGAGGATCTGGTGGTGCGGGTGGGGGAACTCCCTCCAAAACTGGTTCCTCAAACAGACTATTGTTCAGAGCCTCGTCATAGGTTGGAGGTGGTGGGCGACGACGAATCTCGTCCCGAATAAGCCTCTGAATTGGCGAATTGAAACGAGCTTCTGTAAGTGCAAGCACACAAAACGTCTTTACTATTTGCTAGTGTGAAGATATGTATTTCTGGTGGATGCTAAAAACAGAGTGAGATTGGCCATAAGTAAGAAGAAAGTCAAATTAATGACGCCTTGCAGGGACAAAACTAGTTAACCGGCTTGTAGTTAAGACAATCAATCATGTGATGTAAATCTCGTTGAATCACAGTCGTTAATCTGGTCGCCCCGTTCTGCGACAAGTAGTCCCCCCTTTTACAATATGCCATGAGCTAAGCGAAACCTCAACTTACCTCATTGGCATGAACGCGCATCCGGAATTACCACTACGTGAGTGATAACACTCACCTAAGTCTCGATGTTGGCGCATTTATGACTCATGCTATTCCACATTTCTGGGCTACAAATATACACGCGCAAACGCCACACGCGACATCAACTTGGTTAAGCGCTGTCCACATTCCCTCCGATCTCCTTCATCATCGCGGCTAGTAAAGTAGCGTAAGGGGGCAAAATTCAACTCAGTGGCCCCGGCATGTGGTCTCAAACTACGCCGGGGCCAACAACAAATGCATGACAGTGGCTGCTGCTCCTCTAATAGTTGATCAGGGTAGAAACACGTTTGTAATTATTAAACTACCGGAGCGATGTAGTAGCCATAAACTGGCAAATTTCAAATTGTGTTTAACCCCTTATATACAGATCATCCACAAAATTTGCTCATACATATCAGGTTATTGAAAAGTATAAACAACAGGGAGAATTGCTTGATAACCTACGTCGGCGTGCGCGACGTGCTTCAACTGTATTCACCGCCGCATTGTTACCCTTGCACATAAATCCGACCGTCATTATGACAAGAAGAGGCCCGAGCAGAGCAGAGAGGACGTACGTGAGAAGAGTTCGCAGACGCGAATCGAGGCGCGAAGAGGCTGCAATGATCGCGTCATCCACAATGCGAAGCGCTACCTGTTTAGCGATTTGTTGAGCAATTGAAGAATGTCGCAGATGGGAGGATGCATTAGCGTAGGTTGAATTGCATAGGTCAGAGGATTCATCAGATCCATTGGCGCAGTCGACTTGACTGTCGCAGATTCGATCCAAGGAAATGCATTCACCTCGCAGATCAGACAAATTGGTGGAATTCAGCGAGACGCAAAGAAAACGCAGAGACGTAATAGAACAATCGCCACAACCCATCTGAAAGTGACAGATGATAGTCAGGTTAAGCAACAGAGGTTAATAAAATCAATGTATGTATGTGTAATTTCAAGATGAACGAGTAAGGAGGGCTGAATGCAGGTAAAAGGTTTGAGACTATGCGAGTGAGGTAATCAAGGCTATTACACTATTAGAAACACAAGAAGCAATAATCTAGATAAAAGCTACGGTGATCAAAATGAAACTAAAATTTCGAAGAAAAACCATACATATAAATAAAAGGTGATTTGATAAGATATAAGGTATGTAGAGTCAAACCTCATCTGACTTGTCATCACAGTGGTAAACGCCGTTACACCGTTCCGAAAATGTGTAGCAGGAAGAATTCGTACTACGCGAATTGGAACAACTGTATTCGGATGGGCCGCACGAATGACAACCGATTTCATCAGATCCCGTAACAGGACAGTCCCACCAACCATCACATCGGTCCTCTGACACTGAGTAACAGAAATTGTCGGGCCAAGCACAGGATTTGCGATCATTGTTGTCGATCGAACAAAAACCAGCTACTTCAAATGTAAAGCTAAAACCCTTTAATATGAAAAAAGGCAAAACGTGAAGCCATTTAGACACTCAAGTAAAGCACTCAGAGAAATGTGGTAGTTATTGACGAAGTGGAATAATTCGAAGTCATAAGGACAAGCAAAAAATGGCCAATAAGGAAAGGGTTTCAATAACCATATTTCACAAATACAACACACGAAACTGACTTACCATTTTGTATTTTTCCATCCCCAGACTTAGAGGTGATACTTTAGAGGAAGGACTAAACTCCATGGAGACTGTATCACTAAAAGAGGTAATCTTGTTTTCCGAGGAATTTCCTGCTTGGTAGATTGCTACAACATAAAAAGAAGCACCGCCTATAATTAATATTAAAACAGTTTCGGGAAATAACTAATAGGCTGAAGACCAAATCGGACTAAATCATAACACATAAAGTTAATGTGTCTACAGTGCTCTGAGCCTCCAGCATAAGTTACAGGTGAATGCTCGTGAGAAAAAGGAGGGTGAGAGGCAGGTTGTGAACCGCAATACTGTTCATGCTAAACACAAAACCAAAATAGAAAAAACAATCAAAAAAGTGCTGAATAGCAACATGAAATGACGAAAGTCTCTTTTTAAGACAGGAAATGAATAAACAAATTCATTAATGAGTCCATTCGAAAAAGACAATCGGGACAACAATGCTTCACAACTTAAAAAACCATTGTAAACATATATTGATTAAAAAAGAGATTACCAATGACGGATTTTCTACCAGCCGTTACATCGAACACCGAGATTTTGTCCCCGGGGTAAAGATGAGCAAAACGCTTCCTAATGGTTATCCGACTACCATTTTCGGCTCTAAATTTCCATACGTGCCTACTGTCTCTTGACAGCAGAAGTGTATAATTCGACATCGAGAAGTTCACTATTTCATTCGACTTGACATCAAATTCATCATCTACAGAAACCAACTTCATTAAAATATTAACAGAAAAATTACGTAAGATCTCAGATGAATTCGTCGATGCAACCACAAATAAGATGCAGATGACGACTAACCAAAAATAACCAGCAAACATGCCTTTATTTTAGATTAATTAAATCTGTAACGAATACAAAAAATTAACGATTCGGTAAGGGGCGTAGTCATACTCTATCACGACGACCCCAACCAATCCTTTGTGTGCTTTCGATAAATGGCCTCCAAGGTCGATAAGCAGCCAACCAGTGACAAGGAAGATGAAAAGACCTTTAAACAGGGCTGCGCAGCCTGAATAGAATACTCATTTAAATGGCGTCTGACAGATCTCTTACCTGTCAAATGTTTGTACCTGTGTTATCTGTCTTCTGTGTTCGAGGGTCACGTATTCTGAAGGCGTTTTTGGACAAGAAAATGTGCGGGGAGTTGCGATGAAGGCATAAAGTGTCGGGAAAAAACAATTTCTAATAAAAAATCGTGATTTATCTTAATATTATTGCCATATTTTGCTAAATCAAAAATAAGTGCTAAATTGTAGTTTCAGCTCACGCTTTTATTGTGAAATGGGTAAGTGAGCTCTTTTCGCCTGTATTAAAACAACTTGAAATGAAAATTTGCTCAACAGCTCTGTAGTAGCTTTCCTGCATAACCTTATATCCCCTCCAGTTAATAGTTTGTAGCGACCTGAAATTAAAGACTGGAAAGTCGAAAATGGACACAGCCGCTTATTAAAATCACGCTCGACATGTGCTTGTGCATGAGCTTTCGACACAGGATTCCGATAAATGCGAACAAAAGAAAACGGAGTTTGGCCATTTAAATCGATAATTTAATAAGTAGACTTTATTAACACGCGTTAGCTACAGCTCTATATTTCGTCGAAAAAAAATTGACAATTAATAGCCAAAATATAAGATTTAAATAGAAAGGTCGCTAGTGACAGTATTGTTGATGTAGTGCTTGCTAAATGACTAACAAAATATTTTAGAAGTTTTAAAAGGAAATTATTTGCAACTAGGGTATCACGATACAAAACAAATTGGCGTTAAGTTCATAGTTTTACGGTTGATTAAGGACTTTGTACTTGCTGGACCTTCAATAACGGAGACTAGTATTAGTTCATGACATTCTAATTGATGTTAATTGTAACCATGGAAGTTCAAGTTTCTTCTACGGTTAGAATATTAGTTCGTTACTGAACAAAGTAAATGCGAGGCATCCCGGGTATAGACGCAATGGCAACGGGAAAACAGCAGGCATAGGGTAATAGTGCAGAAGCCCAACGCTCCTTTGTTGACTTCCCCTAAGTGAATGCCGAGCCAGTATTGTGAAGCTGTAGGTTCGTAAAAACACTGATCCAGATCATAAAAGCCGGACCTATTAACGTGAGACGAAGTCACTAGTGGAAACGTACTTCTAAAATTACCAAGGAAACCGTCATTTGATCCACATAATGAGCGCACATGTGTTATTCGTTGATGTACAAAGCAACGAGTATCTTGGACAAAAATTGCATCCGTAGCCCTAAGAGCATCAAAATATTGTGCCAAATGTGAAAAGACAAATATTTAGGACATTTAAGAAAAAGCCCACTGAGGTCTTTACCACATTTCTGACTATGTTAACAGGTCCCGAAAAAATAATTCAACGTAATCAAAATGGGTTAAATTGTTAGCAGCGACTTCGGTAGCCCGCGTTCTGATTGACTACAAACCGGCAAGGAATAAAATAAATTTTCCCAAAACAACTGAGAAAAAGTACAATGAATGAAGAGTAAGATAGGTTAATATAAAATTATGGAATAACGATTAGCCCCCGGTTTTTCAAATAAGTAAACACGTGACTAAAAACATTGTCTTCAGCTTTCTGTACAAATGATAATGGGGATTAAAGCATTCACACGGAACCAAAGAACTTTATGATGACCCAGGCAGCCAGAAGTAGGACAACGGCGACGAGAATCTAAAAAGAAGACAACGGCTAATAAAGAAAAGGCACTTAAAAATTTCAAATGCGCATTTCAGGTCATCAAACAGTCATGGTAACAACTGATGTCACTACGTGGTCCAGTGCCGCTCTAACCTACACACTTAACCACAACGTTTACATTTTGAATGGTAGAGCAGATGAGACTTCACATTTCTACGGAACTACTAAGTGTTCCCTGACTTTGTGCTTGGTTAAAAGTAGAGATCGCATTGACTGCAAGATCTTGTGGGGTAAAGTCCGCTAACTGAGTCTCTGCGAGTCTGATGGATATATGGATGAGTCACGTCGTTCGATGCTGACTGACACGCTTGCATTAGAAAAAGGTGCACATTTCAAACCCAAGAAGCATACAATAAAGGCCCCTTTCCTTGTGGTTAAATGACAAGAAAGATTTTACGGATTTAGTTTGACTAACGGCAAGCATTTGGTGTCCCTACTGTTTATGTCTTTTGGCATTGGGACCTAAAAAGAGGCCTCAGTTACGAAAAGGACTCAACAAAAGCTGACGCTGAGAACGCTGGTCACTTGCCAACACGAATTATTGATTTAAATGAGTGACCTTACTGCTTCAACTTGGATACAAACTTGGTTACAAGCCCTCGTGTAAACATGGAGAAGCTAAGTAATTGACGGCAAGTAAAATAATAAAGACACCAAAAGACAATACGTTAGCGTGTTAGATCACTGCCTAATGATAAAGTACGCAATATGTAGTTTAAGAAACTCACAACACTTGATGAATCGAAACCAGACTTGGTTTTCGACAAGATGACCTTAGGGATTGTCGACTTGTGGCAGATGTCCTCAGGAACCCTAGCAGGACCACCGACGGTCTGAAGCGATAGCTGAAAGCCATCGTCCTCCCCCACTGAGAGAGACTCAAAAGGTCCTCGATCGATGACCTTGCCCCTCATGAAAAATTTGTCACACTCTGTCACCTCCACCAGAACTATCCGGCCTTGCAAGTCTGGGTCTTTGGGCAAAAGGATCTACGAAAAATTAAAAAAACAAAGTACCCACATCAGACCACAGGAGAAGGAGTGTTTCTGTGGTGGGACAGTAGCACTTATTCAAAATTGTAAATACGCAAACAGGAGAAGGAAAAATCAGCGAATGAACCGCGGTGGTTGAAAAAATTGCCTAGACGAGCGAACGCGTACGTTGAAGACGTGGTGTCGTAGACAGAACACAAGGACTCTATTGGTTTGAACCTGTCCTCGCAAAATTTAACGTATTGTTCAAGCAAAACATGTCACGTCTTCTGTAATTACGTATTTTTCCATTGAGAAGTCCCGTACTCGGTAGACAAAGGCTTAGTTACAGACTTTAGAGTCTGGATGAAACAACTAAGGCGTATGATAGGCGACAATGGAGCTAGCCATTTAAAACTACCTGCTCATATGCCTTTGTGTGTCCAACCCAATGCTTGCTGTCGGTGCTGGCCTCGGTGATGAGCACACGATAGACGCGACCCACGCGGCCATCAAAGGGGCAGTAGGACCTGAAAAGATCGTGCAGCCTTCGCGTCCGCTTCTTAACCTCGGCGGTTGTCGCTACTCTAAAAAGGCAGAAGCAATTGCGATCTCCCACAGCTATTCAAGGATTCCAAGACACAAATGATCATTTTCTTTCGCAGATTGGAAGCTAGGGAGTAATAAAAATGACGAGTTGACTCAGTAAACGGAAACTCAGAAGAATATGCGTGTGCTTGCCAATTCATCCAACCGAGTCTAGCAGATTACCATCATTACTGATGTACACCTTGCCAGAATTACACAGCAGCATATACAACTGAAATTAAACTGATTTTTAAGCAAGCAAATATACTCAAAAGACTAGAACCTATGAAGGGCCACTTTAGTAAATACATAGGTATACTACACTTTCAGTCAACGCATTAGATTTTTTTAATACGGAAGCAATCTGTATCACACGATACCTACCGTTTCATTGTGGCAGCAGGTGTTCCGGGACGGGCGAAAAACTGGTTAATGAAGAGAACAGGGAATTTGTAGCGTTCCACAAGTTTAACAGTGTCCTGAAAGTCCGCCTCCGTTTCAGTGGGAAAGCCGCATATCAGATCGGTAGCCACGGTTAACTTATCACCATCTCTGAGAACGAGAAAAAAGGTTACACTTAAAGACCTACTTTTCTCTTCACTACCACGCAAAGTCGGGGTCATATAAGAAGGACGTGGACACAAAAATACACTATGTGTCATTAACAAATCGCAGATAAAAACTATAGGATTTGACTGTCTGTAGCTCGAGTAGGGACGATGAATAACAGAGGATGGACGGTGTAATAGTATCATAAGAGCAATGAAGCTGCGCAAACTACATATAAATGATTAAGGTGTTAAACGAGCAATTTTTAAGTTAAAGCCTTGCCAAGACATGATCGAAGTTTGCCTACGATTTAGAAGGTCAAACAGGTCAACCGTATCCTAAAATGGTTCACTTTGGATGTGACTGGAGCACACTTAAGGTACTGAAAAGTTAAAAGGCAAGCCGAAGTTGTAAGGACATTCGTTAAGAGTCTACTGCTTGAAATGGTCGACCAAAAGGAATTCTCAGTTGGGTAAGCAATGACTAGTTAGTAGTACATTTCAATACGAAAACAACTTAAACTGAGCTTTCATAAGACTTGCGGATATTTGATAACGTGTTCCGAAAGAATTGGAGCATTGTATGCATTAAAAAGTGCCTATCAAGTGACTGTCTTACACTGAAGTATTCGTATTCATAAAGAAGAAATTTGGGATGGTAACTCGCTCAACTACCCGGGGCTGTTGTGATTTTGTAAAGAAGCTTACACCGAATGAACGCCTGATGTGAGACACTCGACGACTCTTTGAAACTCCTCAACTGTGTATGCTCGCCTCATTGACTCAAGCACGCTATTTGAGCCTAAAGTACGAAAGAAGCTGTGACGAAACATTGCAAAATTCCGACTAAATTGCATGTTGGAGCGTAAAAAGTAATAGTCAGACATTGAAATTGGTTGGGCAGTGGGTCGGTGTCAATTGCATAATTCGATGTTTAACAGATTGGTAATTAATGCATATTCTCTAATAGATCATAAGAAGTATTTGGAAAATCCGTTTAGACCAGCGATCAGAACGTAACGGATCCCTACATTATTTTGAGGAAGACATGTAAAAATCCGCGAAAGTGATAAGGCAGAGAGTTTACGCTTGATGAAAATAGGACATTTGGCAGCTTTATTAGATATCACAAGAAGTACAGCCTCACCTGACTGGACTGGTATGTGGACGAAGGCGTAGACGCGCGGGTGCCTCAGCACAGCCGCGACCTCCTCCAACTGGTCAAGAATATAGGGAGGATTAGTCATTCCAAGTCGGAGCATACAGCCAGCCGGGATAGTAGGAACGAGAGCAAAGAGAAGATCAGCAAGGGTTAGATGATTGGGCCATTTTTCTGCAACTGTGGCTGGTGTGGTCGGCAAATGGTAATCAAAACGTGGCAGGTCTCGACCGTAGGCACCCAAATCTTCGGAAGTGAGCCAGATCTCTCTAACGCCGTCTGAATAATCAGAATTGACAATGTGAGTTCAAGATGTGAGTGATGGTGTCAAAAAACCGATCCATAAAGTTATGCGCAGGGCAACAAGACATTAGACTGCTTTGTGATTGGCGAATTCCAATTAAGCGATGATTGCTTATGATTATAGACTAGGGAAGACACTTCAGTAAACACAGGTTCGAGCGACTCGGCATGAGGTTTGACTGCTTGGCACAGTTATTGGGAAAAAGTGACACGAGGTCACCAGAACGATTTATTAGCTATTGATCTTGGTTTTCGACTCCATAAATACTGGAAAGTTAAATGGACCATGAACAGTACAAAGTGATGACATAATGTACAAATGGTTCGCTCAAAATCTGTTAAAGAACTTATTTTCTGTTTTTTGAAAATACCTACACCCTCATATAACTAATGCCTAGAAATATAATTAAGCTCGCAAACTGCCGATTATTAGTGGCTGGTGAAAAAAAACGAAGACAAACAAAACTTCGTGTCACACATACTAACTTTTAGGCTAGCTGATCGCATGCCTGATTTAAATCAGCTTTGCATTCCAACAGATTTTGGATGAATGCAATACGGCGAATTGAGGTTCGAGCATGGAGTTGATGACCAAACCCGCACAAGACACCAGGCGTGCCCTCATAGCCCTAAACGTGAATGTGGTGGACGAACCTCAAATCACCACCCAAGATCATGCAAACTGCAGGAATAATGAGCTCAGCCACTACCAAGGTCCAATAAATGCACACATTACAAAGCTTTCGTAGTGTTAAAGGAGTGACAGACCTCTGTTGTAGCGACAGTGCAATTATTGGCAGTTGTTACGGAATATTCATCGCCTAGGTGGTAAAAAATCGCCTTTGGAGAAAACTGCAAACGTGTGTCCAGTAGGCATAGTTCGGCACAGATTAAATTGAGGGCCATTTTAAAATACTATCACAAATGTAGTTCAGTACCCAAGATGAAAACACAACTACATTGTGGTACGCATACAGTGATCAAATCAGCAGTTACAAAAGTGGAGTGGTTTCGTTAAAACAGAGCACTATTTCAGGAAATATATGTGTAGAAATACTCCGCTAAGGTACAAACAATTGAATTAGCAACAAGCGACAAAAATTTGCAAGGAGGCAAGTTCGTAGACATTATGCTTGCGCAGCCACACATATCCAAGACACCAGACCACACAGGCCGTAGGCAAATTTCAGTGGTTTGGGCATCAAAATAGAAAGTGCATGGTCAGCCAAAATTTACCATTAAATGCCTCAATAGCCCGTTGTACGAGTTCGGCGACAGTGTAGCTGGCAAGGACACCTCTAGCGTGTTTCGTTTTACAGTAGGTGCAAGCATTGAGGCAACCCGTCGAAACCACAAGAATTTCGATCAAGGGATTACGACGAATTTTGGGCAGGGACAAAGGTGCGCCACCTAGACGCCGCTTTCTCCCGGACCCACCAAGGCCGTTTTCATCCGAGCCAACGCGCTTCTCCATAAATCGAACTGTGTTGCCTGTGGAAAACAAGGTGAATTCGTCAAAATGCGAAACAGTAAAATCACCGAGATGGTTAAGGCTTACCAAAGTGGAAAGAAGCATTCCTTGAGAGAAATAAACAAGCCACTGTAATGTCCAGAAGCTTTTCATTATTTAACGATTTAAGTAATTGCTAAATCCAACAAAATGATCCAGTTTGCATCGTCAACGGCAACTCATTGATGCCTCGATAACACTCACTTCAGTTACTTGAAATTACCAGACCTTAGGATCTGGTAAAAGGCCTTTTACTTCAAAACCCAGACATGAATCGCGAGTGTTTAAAAAAATCAAACACTTCTAACAAGCCTTTGTGATTACCTCATATTTATTTAAAGAAATAAACAAGGCAACAAGGTTATCTAATTCAATCAATTCCATTCCGCGCTTATATTGAGAAGGCAAAACAACTTCCCATTAAATAAAAAAGTGAAATAATCGCAGTAAAGTGATACCAACTAGGAACAAGCTTAAAAATTATCTGAGGTTCGAAGCATCACAAAAGAACACTCATGCCTGATTTATCACTGTTTTCGATCCAAGCTAGAAAGTGACAGTGGAATCGATATCCCTCCCTACCCGGAAGGAAGCCAGGTCTGGAAGGTTGCTTTTGCCGCAAAGGCATAACAATGGAGTAAGTCACTCAAATTAAGACAAAAACAGCAGCATCCGATAAGTTAATTAATAAATATTTTCGATCCTCCGGAAATAAAAAAGGTCTCAGACTGTTGTACTACAGTAATGGTCTACAAAAGCTGCTAAATTCATACCACGTGGAGCACCAAAATATGGACAGAAGTCGAGGGTTTCTAGGAAGTAAAAATTGCCTGTTCTAAGAATTTACACCAGGTGGTCGTTATAACTAGGTTCTAGTAATATGCTTTAAGCAAGCCTAATATCAGAATAAGAAAAAGGTCAAGGAGGCTCAACTCTGTTCCGCAAGGCTCTGCATAAGATGAAGCCCAAGTCTTTTTCCCATGCCTTTACCCTGCTCTTCTAATCTCAATGGCGCTTAGAACACTAGTAGACAGCGCAGCTTCCTATCGACAAAGTTAGGTGCCTGAGAGCAGTTGAGGATAGTTGCAAATGACACTTAAACAGCCAATTTTTCTATGCACAAAACTGCAAACGTACCAACTCACCCATTAGAGTTTGTTCGACGACCTCTACGACTCGATCGATTTGCTGGACACCCACTACGCTAACGTCCTACAAGGTAAATGGAGAGATTCACCGAATAAAGGTAACACAGCATAAAAATTAAGAAAGCACGTGTGGTGGAGTTGAAATGTAGCTCAAATGACCAAAATCCGCATGGCTACGAGCACTGCTTTGCGTAGCTACTATCGCTACTACCGCAATCCTAGAATGAACTTGCAAGGCTCAAATAAACCTCCCCAGTCGAAATCATTTCGAAACATAGTCGCTAATAGTGATCAGAAGTGATAAGCCTGAGGGGAAGAAGATAGGGAACACCAAATAAAATTCAAATCCGTGCTTGCAGGTAGGATTGCGAAGCTCACTGCAAAACTTCCCCATGATCCACTTCGGGTTTTTAAAGGAAGCACTCAATGGCCGTGTTAGCAATAGTTGGCCTGCATATCAAAGATATACATTAACGAAAGAAAGCAACTGAATGTCCCGTTACGTGACTAATTCAACTGTTAAGGCATGGAACAAGTCGCAAAATGTAAGGTGGTGAAAATGAAACAAATGGGAAAGGATACAGCTCCTCAATCCATCAGGTGATCACTTTAAGATGTGCTAAGCAGTTGCAGCAAACAAAAACAAATATCAAAAGATTGGAGAGAATTTTTTTCCAAATCGCTCAGTCGTAAAGTGGTTTATACATGACTAAGGAAAGTATAATAATTTCACTAAGAGGGACTATCCAAAGGAAGATTGACAAAGCGTTTTTTACTCTTCTCAATTAATTAAAAAATTTTTTAATTGTGTGGTAACTATAAAGTCGACAAAACTTGGAAAATAAGTGCAATCAAACCTTGAGGTAGGCGACATTTGGGCTGCCTTGTGGGACACAGCCAGCCACCACAACCTTCTTGGCTCTCGCTTTAGCCGCCATTACGGCGTTCCTAAAGTGATCCTCCGCTGGGCCCTTTACAGTGCAGCTATTTAGAAGCCACAAATCGGCTGCCTCTTTTTCCGCTTCATCGTGATTTGGGCTTCGACAGTTTTGTCCTCTGCATTCGCGGTCACCGTTGGAACAATTAGCGCCTTTAAAGGTCTTGTCTGAGCAGGCACAGCCATCATCGGATTTTGCAACAGAAGAACTTCCTCCAAGTGTTACTTTGTAACCATAGGTGGAGAGAAGGCCAGCCATGTACTCAGCATCACTGATGTTATGAGCGCAGCCCCATACCTGCACGAAAATGCGCTGAGTGCCTAATACAAAAAAATGCTTAATGCAAATTAAGTTAGTCCAAGCCTGCTTTCTAGAAGATGTTGGCGGGCATGAGTTTTAATCTCTCCATGTAATAACAAGGGAGCATATTCAGTGAATAACTGAAATTAACAACCTGTCCAGAGTATACTGATCATGTATAAGATGCAAATTATTTGCCGATTTGTCAACCATGAAAAAGCAGACCCAAGTCTAAATTATAGAATGTCAATAACAACAAAAACAACATTGCCGGTTTCATACTTTTTATTGCAGCAGCACTTTATTTCCCAAAAAGCCAAATTAGGAATGAAACTATGGGGATGAAGTATATACATGTACAGCAAAGCATAATAAATATTTTTGAAGCAGTTAGCCACGGAAGCATGAACAAAACCGATTACAATATTTCTTGCCAATAAAAAAATGACTTGCAGTTCGGCAAGAGAACAATTAAACATGACGACATTTACCACTATTAATAGAAATATAAATACCCGCAAAACACGAAACGAAATTAAAGTTGAGATAGTCCGAAAAAACGTGCTTACCGGGAATATTATCTCCAACAGCATCAGGTTCTTCAGCACAATTCTTCTTTTTAATAAAACGTGGGTGCACACTACTAATCGTTCTAGGTCGAACAGAATCAACGGGAGCGTCCTCTATATCCATTTTTGTGTAGGATGGTATGGTGCAGCTGTGGTGTAGTGTGCTGTAGTGTAGTTGTGGTGTTGTGGTGTGGTGTGGCGTCGGATTAGGGCGCAGACATGTTGGACCACCTGGCCTCAGCCAATCCTGTGTCTCTCTGCGATCCAATGGCATGCGGGAAAGGAAGGCAGCCAACCAGAGAAGGACACGACTGAGGAGCAGTATATAATGAGCGGCGTGGCCAGCGCGGTAGACTCGGATGGAAGGCGCCTGACGCGTGGCTCTGGCTTCTGATTGGTCAATAAAGCCTGTACTGTTGTACCGGTCTTTTACCTATTAGGGCTCGGGTATTCTACACTGGTGGCAGCGGTGGGTTCGAATAACGCAAATCGAACCCCAGCCCTTTCTCTTCAGTGGTCAACAGAGGCAAAGACCCTTAAATGCCAGCTGAAA